GGAAAAGGAAGGAAGACAGACTTGGAGCTGCCCAGTGGATGGCGCACCTCCTGGGGTCTCAATTACAGGGCCAGCAGAGAGGCCTGGCTGCCAGGACTGGGCTTGTCTACTGGGGAGCCCCATAAACCTTCCCTTTCCAGCCAAGTTTCTTTCCAAGAAAAGCCTTAACAGCAAACACTTGGAAGATGGTGGTCATGCTTCCTACCGACGCCCCATCGTGTCCACCCATCAGAACTTCCACCTACTCCCCACCTTAGGTGGCAGCAAAAGCAACACAACAGTCAGACCAATGGTGGTCACTTCTAGAGAAGAGGCAGTGCTGGAATCAGTGCCTTTGGGACAAAGCAAACACCGGCTGCCGTCCCCCTTGTGTTCTCCAGCTTGTAGTGCCTTTGGTGAGTACTATTTCAGCCTGATCTGAGGGTCTAGCAACCCAACACAGTCACAGTGGCAGTTGTTCTTTATTACTCTGAAGCATCCTGTTTCCTAAAAAGAGGAAGGGCATTGCTACCAGGTCAAGCTGAGCCTGGGATTTGCTCTGTGGTCAGGGCAAGTAAGTTGATTTCCTCTTCCTATATACCAGTTATTTTCCTTACACTTAGAGTGTTTTATCAAACAATTATTATCACATAAAATGCTACCAGATATTTTTCCCTTCAAACCTAGCCTGTTATGTGAGATTTAGATCAAGTATCAGCTCTTCTTCTGCCCCAAGTTGAAAAGTCTTCACTTTTTTATGTGTAGTACTAGAGATTGAACCAAAGGCATTCATACTGAGCTGTATTTCTAGCCCCTTTTGTTTGTTTGTTTAGAGACAGGGTCTCACTAAATCACCAAGTTACCCAGGATGGGCTCAAACCTGTGATGCTTTTACTTCACTCTGCTTGGGTTCTGGAATTATAAACATGTACCACCATGCCCAGCTTAATTTCTACTTTATAAACCACCTCTTTAAGCCTGCCTGTTAAGTCTACTTTCTCTGAATCTCTATAAGGTAGATCACTGTCTGTCTCTTATTCTGATTAATTACACAAAACATTATTTTCAAGGTTGGATGGGAAGGATGCCTTATCCCCTCCACATACTTAGAGCTTGCCAATATTACTTTCTTTTTTTTTTTTTTTGTACTGGGATCAAACTCATGACCTTGTGCTTACCAGGATGTTGAGCTAAATTCCAGGCCCTAATATTACTCTGGAAGGCAGGAAAAAGCAAATATTCTCTACTGGGAAAATCACATGAAAAGTTTAGTCTTATAGTCAAAGTTTTGTCCTATGTTTTCAGCATCACAATTTCTCAAAGTGTCACTGTAGCTTCCCAGAGGGGCAGACTAAAAGACTGAAAAGATAAGTAGTTATCTTCAAGTTCCACAACTTGTGGTTTCTGGAACATTTTCATCCTCAGCCTTCTTTCAAGACAGATGCACTTAACTCTTGAACTGAGTCCTAAACTGTTTTTGCCTTTCCGTGCAAAGGTTTATTTCTTCTCTAAGTTCCCAGAATAGAAGCCAGAGGCAGAACCGTGTGACTTTCTACTGTCTTTTAACTTTCATAGTGTGAGTGTGTGAACTTTGTGTCTGAAAGAACATAGAAATGCAAGGCTGACCTCCAGCTGGAAGTTTAACAGGACAGACGGGGGCGGGGGTGGGGGTACCATTCACACTGTCACATACATGAAACAAGTGTGTATTTTCTACATTGCCTTTATATATTTTCTATAAAATTTATTCTTAAATGTGTACTAAAATACATTTACAATATACTTAACACTCATAATTCAGTGAAGTTGTTTAATAGGAATGTCATACACTTAACACATGTGATTTTTTACTTATATAAGCAGAAATTCCCAGTGAGCTATTAGGACATTGGGTCTTCTCTTGCACAAACACAGCTGTTGTTTTCAGAAAATAATATGATTAACTGAGAATTTTCAGGAAGTACACAGTGTCAACAGAAATTAATTTGGGGTTGGCTTCCTATGAACTGTACCCAGCACATAGATATATATTTCCATCTTCATTGGCCACATCCAAAATAGCAAAGAATAGGGCTGGAACTTCTCTTTCCTGTGCTCCTAGGTTCCTAATCCCAAATGCCCACACTGAAGATGGAAAGTTTGCTTCAGTTCCTGAGTTTAAAATGAAGCCAGAATGACTAATAGGAGTGACATCAAAAGAGAAGCCCACACTGCAGTTCTCCTGGCAGAAGCCACCGTGTGTGGGAACCCAGGATGCCTGAATTTCCTAAGGAAGGCAGTATACGTGACCAGGTTAAAACCTCAAAGTAAGTTCACAGGTTGGTAGGAGAAAAGACATTCATACAGGGAGGCTAAGAAAGATTTAAGAATCACATAAAAGAAGCCAGAGGATTCAGCATTTCACAAAAGAGAAGAAGGCTCCCAGAGTCACAGGCTGGAGGCTGAAGACACTGCTACTTGGAATTGGATGCGGAGGATGAAATGCAATGTCTGCAATATAGCTGGAGACTGTGACTTAAGCAACCAAGTACGAGAGGGGAACAAGAGGGTTGAGACACTAGAGCGAATGTGACACTGAAATAAAGAAGAGCGAGTGATGAGATCAAAGATGAGCATCTTTGATGAGAAAACCCCAAATCTGAAGTTTTCTGAGTGCCAACATGATCATAAATCTGTACAAACAGCCCAAAACTTTAAAAATTCTAAGAATCAGAAGTTTCTGCTCCCAAGCATTTCTGGTAAGAGGTGGTTCACCTGTGTTTGGTATTAAGAGGAACACCTGGTGGGGAACAAGGGTCCGGAGTCTGGGGGGAGGCCACCACCCGGAGGAAGGGAGGGGAGAGATCAGCAGGAACAAGGACAGACACACAGGAAGAGAGGGAGGAAGACCATGGAGCCCTATGAGGCGTGGGTTCCTCTGATAGAGGAAAGGGTTAAGGTCGGGGCTCCTTCCTCAATTTTCAGTGAAACTGAAGGCAGCGCTGAAGACTGTGGGGTCAGAAGAGCCCTCACAGCCAGCGTACTGATGACTGCAGTTTGCCAAATGCCGGAGGAGCCTGGGTGCCGAATGGACCCAAGGCAGAGTTCTGTGAGCTTCCCTACGCGTTCTCTGCATCCTGGAAGTAGGAGTGTAGAAAGCAGACGGTGTGAATATGGCTGGAGACCCTTCAGACACAGCATCCAGGAAGGAAGGAACCCAGAGCTCTGCCAAATGTGGGTTCTCAGACACCGCTGAATCGGCAGAGCTCTTTCTGAAACTGAGTGGGTAGGCTTGTGGGTGCCCACCATTGTAGAAAATATCTCCTGGTGCTGGGTTTGCTCGTGGTCCTCCCAGCAGTTTGCCTCATGCCCTGTCCTGGGAAGGTCTCCCGACCTGTCCCCTCTTTCATTATTGTCACTTCTTTGTGCTCAGCTAACTCCTCAGCAGCACACTCCTGCCCACTGACCGTGCATCCTTTGACTTGCCTCCATCTGCAACCTCTGGGCAGCAGGGGTTTTGTTCTGCTCTGAATCTGACTGGGCACTCTAGAACTCAGAGAATACAGGGGAGTGAGAGTGCAGACTCTCCTACAGACCATTTAACAGCTCAGAAGTTTCTTCATTTGAAAGCAGAAGATAAAAGTTAGAGGACCTTAAAAGCCCAAGCTATTGTGCTATGATGGCAGGCCTGTAATCCTAGTTAATTGGAAGGCTGAGGCAAGAGGATCATAAATTCAAGGCCAGATTTTCCAAATAAATTTAAAAAGGCTGAGCTGTGTAAAGTGTATGCCTATAATCCCAGCACTCTGGGGGGGGGGGGGGTAAGGCAGGAGGATTACGAATTGATCCTAACATGGGTAATTTAAATCTTAGATAGATCCTCAAGAAAAACAAAAAATCTGGGGATGCAGCTCAATAGTGGAGCATTTGCTAGCATGTATGAGCCTTGGGTTTAATTCCTAGTACTACAAAGGAAAAAAAAGGAGATAAGGAAGAGAAAGAGGAGAAGGAAAAGGAGGAGAAGCAGGAGGAGAAGAAGACGAAGAAGAAGAAAAGAAGAAGAAGAAGAAGAAGAAGAAGAAGAAGAAGAAGAAGAAGAAGAAGAAGAAGAAGAAGAAGAAGAAGAAGAAGAAGAAGAAGAAGAAGAAGAAGAAGAAGAAGAAGAAGAAGAAGAAATTACCTAGTTTATTTGCTTCACTTTATGAATAAAAAGACCAGAACCCAGAGAGGTTGACTTGAAGTTCTTGATATCAGTTATTTAATGTTTTTACCACAGTCTACCAGTGATGCCTCCCTAATATTTTGGGTCTGTTTCACTTCTAATTGGTATTGTTTTATTCAGAATTTAATGTAGATCAACTGGGATCTTTTGGCTTGACCACTCAGAACTGGAGGTAGGAATACTAGAACCATAAGCTAGAAATGATACCTACTGGGGGAAAAAACGACCCTGTGCACCAAGCAGGTATTGAGCAAAATGCAACAATAGACTCCATCGGGGATAAAAATTTGGGGTACCAGAGACCCTGGATAGCAGTGTACTGAGGAGCTGTATTTGATAGGTTTATAACAGGAAAGGAACAGCTGCTGTGAATTCACTGTTCTCTACAAGGATTTGTGTTACTTTAACATTAGTCGTTCAACGTTACTAGTCCATTTACATATCACTTAATATACACCTAGCGGTGTCACCTAGTGATAGGGATGCATCCTGAGAAATGTGCTCTAAGGTGACTTCATCATTATGTGACTATTACAGGATATACATGCAAAAACCTAGATGGTATAGTTTATTGCAACTGTACTATGTGGTATATTCCATTGCCCCTTGATTACACACTACTGAACCCTTTAAGCAGTTATAACACAATGGTGAGTCTTTGTGCAGATACATACATATAAACATCAAAAGGTACAGTAAAAAAATACCAGACAATAGAAAATTTCCAGCTCCATCATAATCTTATGGAACCACCACCGTATATGCAGTGCACCATTATAGAGCTCCTGACTATAATTCAGAAATCCCTACAAACAAGCAGTGCAGTTAGAATCATCAAGTTTTATTTTCAATTGCCCTGATTCTGTTTTCCCTCAAAAAATAAACATGTTGTGAGATTTGGTTTTAAACATCACTTTAATACAAATTTTTAAGAAAAATGTCTCTTGAAATGTAAACTATCGTGTACCCTACTTATTATTTAAAACTGACTAAATGTTTAAAGTTACACTTCTAAGTATTTGGTTAGCTGTGTTATTTTATTGGCTGTTTATTTTAGCTGGATCATGTTCATATGGCTCCAGGAGTTCTTCGAGTTTTAATAAGAACATTGTGTACATTCTGAGTGGATTGAAGAAAATAAGAGAATTTGTATTTTGAACGCCTTTGTATCTTAGCCATCTTGGGCTGCTGTAACAAGAATCCCATAGCCTGGGTGGCTTTGTAGCAAGTGCTTATTTTATGCAGGTCCAGAAGCTGTGAAGGCTGAGACAAGGTGCCAGCAGATGTGGTGTCTGGCTTGCAGATAGCCATGTTTCACTGGGTTCTTACAGGGCAGAAGGAGACAGACTGTCTCTCCTGTCTCTTCTTGTAGGGTCACTAATCTCACTCACTAGGTCTTAGGATCTGATTACTTCTGAAAAGTGCACCTTCAAGTTTCTTTTTATTAGAGATCCCCCAGCTTTGACATAGGAATTTTAGAAGGACACAAAGAATCCTTTTCCTAATCCACTTACAAGGATACAAGCTTCAAGTGAATATTTAGTGTTACTCATTATAGGAACAGAGAGGTTCTCTGAGTTGGCTGGCTCTGACAGAGTGTTGTGATATCCCATCCTCCCCTCTGCCTGAAGTGGCAATCCTCAAAAAATCACAGGCTGGATGGCAAAGCACTTCACATGGGCGAGTAGAGAATTTTCAGTGTGCTTTATTTAAGAAGGTGAAACTTTGTATTAGAAGACACTTCGAAGTAGCACATTTGGATGTCTTTCCCTGTGAGATGAGAGAGGGGATTGGAATCCAGAGAAGGAAATTTGCTCAAGATCCCACTTAGCCTGCTCTTATAACTCATTAACATTTGCTATTAACAATGAGATTTATCTTCTCTAATTCCAACATTTTTCTCATCCCATTGTATTACTCATTTAGTAACCTGCCATTTGCTTTAGGGTTTTTTTAATGGTTAATAAAAATAAATGATTGACCAGATGGTGAAATAGTGCCAAAGCTAGTTCAATGACCAGCCCTGCTCTCCGTCTTTCATGTAACAAGGAAAGCCACTCAAATACACACTGCCTCAGTTTCCCCATCCGAGAAGCAATTTTTTCCACTCCTCTTTGTTTTCTTTAAAGACTTTGCTATCCACAACACATGTGGCCAACAGAAACTTCCCCACTTCTCAATCAAATGAAAAGATGGTAAGGGTAATACTGGTGTAGCATGTGGGGCTCACAGATGCAAATTTCCAGCTAACACAGAAAAGGTATTGCTAAAAACCCTTTGCAGATAGAGAGCTACAATGAGAAGGGAGGAGAAGAGAAGGAAAGATGGAGTTTACTTAGAGGTTAAAATATAACTTTAATGCTCTTCTTTGATATTTTAAAATTTTTTTTCTGGGTAGAAGAGCTAGCAACGGGCATCTAGCTGGAATAAACAGGAGCAGTAGAGTGGGGTCTCGCCACGGGGTGCAGCCAGCACCTGAAAACAACAGACCACTGCGGCAAGTGCGACCCAGTGGACTGGACCTCTTATTCCTGGGGCGTCTGCCCAGCTGGGATTTCCATAAAGACAAGGTCCCAGGAACCTGGCGGGGCCCGGCTAGCCTTGCTCATGTGCCCATTTCTTTGAAGTGTAAATTGCAGAAGCACCTCTCAGCTGCACTGGTCATCTTTGTGCCTTTAGCATGAAAACAGCTGATCTGAGAAGATGGCAGCCAGGTAAACAGCACAGCTGACCTGCCGTGGTCTAGTAGGTCACCAGGCAGTGAGAGACTCCAAGCAGGAGGGGGTGCAGTCACCCAGCACTAACTGGCTCCTAAAACCAGCAGACCAGACAGGAGCATGCTCCAGTGCTTCCCACGGGAAGGTAAACATGACAAACAATGTTCTCAGCACTGGGTTCCCTCCAAGGGCTGAACACGCCACTTTCCCAGTTCTTGCAGGCTGCCCTGGCGTCATGCCCCATGGAAGAAACCTCCTGTGAGCACAACACCCTGGCCCTGTTGAACTACTCTCCTTTCCTGGCCACATTCTTTCTCTCTCTGTGGTTTGGCTCCATGGCCCCTCACGCCTATCACTTCCGTCCAGCCTCCTCACACACAGCCCTTGGGTCACCAAGGCAGAATACAGTGGATGCTCCTGAGGAGAGTGTAAAGATCATTCCTCTAATGGCAGGACCAGGCTTGACTGAGGGCATCCAAATGGAGATGGTGTGGCTCAGTGACTTTTTGACTCCTGGCCCCCAATTTTAATCTTTTCCTTAGGAATTCAAGATTTTCAAAGTTCTGGAACCAAAGCCTCTGGCTCAAGCCAATCTCCTGGCTTGTGCCCATCTGAAATGTAGAAAAGGTTTTTAGATTTCCTGAGCATGTACATTCCTCCTGCAGAGAGTGTGCAGGCCGATTCTCCCTGTAGGTGGGCTGCTGTGCTGGGCTCGCTCTTGCTGGCTTGTCCTCCAGTCCCAGCACTGTGCCCGTGTAACTCAGCTCCTCCTGGAAGGCTAAAGGCAAAAAGGTCCAGCAATTATGATAAATGCTGAAGAGTGCCAAATAAAATCCACCATTCGACTGGCCAGCTGTCTAGCACCAAGAAAGGTCAGTTAAAAACCATCCACGTGGACTGTCTTGTTTATTAAAAGCTTTTTGGAATAAATTGGAGAATGTCCAACAGCAAAGCCAAGTGATTTACAAAGCCCATTAGAAAGAGATCAGTATCTGGGATGTAGATTTTTCTATTTTTAATCATTTTTAAATGAAAACTAATTTTAAGGACAAAATTCCACAGCAGAAAAAAAAAATGCTCTCCTTAATCATCTACAGTGATGCAATTTGTATGCTTGCTGTTTGGATGATCAGTGGCCTGGGGCTTGATGGAAGGTGTGTTTGAGGAAAAAGTCAGGTGTAGTGCCCCTGGAGAACAGAGCAAGACTAAAGGAGAGATTCCTAGATAAGAATACAATGTAGAAAGCAGAATTAGGCCATTTCTACAAGGAAAATAAATTGCATGGTAACCTTGGCACTGGAAGGAGTTACCTTACTGTAGGCTACAAAACAGACAAGCCAGATCATATAAGACAGACGCTTTCATACTTTGAACTATGACCTTTCCCCACTTGATGCTACCAGTTTTGTCTACCAAAGATGGGGAGGAGGGTGGCAGAGGACGGGAGAAGGAGGAGGGGGAGGGAAGCAATATCTTCACTCAAGCTTTCTGCCTTACCCCTCGCTCCAGCAGATGTCAGCCCTGGGCTGCACAGTGTGGTTCACTGTGAGAGCAGAGGCATGCAAGGGTAACAAGGACAGCTGTGCCTCAGTGGCCCCACAGTCACTTCCCTGTCATGCACTGTCTTTAATTAAGGCGCTGGGTTCAGATCCAGTGGGCTGTCCCAGACCCAAAGTTGTTTCTGTGTCAAACGGATGAGATGCCAGGTAATCTTTATACACCCCATCGATCAGTTTGGCAGCATTGTTCCTGGCAAACCAGCAGTCTATCTGCTCTTCACCATTGTAAATCTTCCTTTGTTTCCAGACCACTGGGACTCTGTGCCCTTTCACCTGTAGGATGGTCTCAAGCATCCCTTCTGCTGGAGGCAGGGGAGAATTAGTGAGATTTGTGCTGTGCCCCACAGGCTCCGTGGTGAGTTTGGTCTCCTGGTTCAGGAACTGACCTGGGAGGACAAAAAGACACAAAATGTAAATCATGTGAAGAGCAAAATAAAAGATTATTGAAAAGGGAAGTATACTCTGTGGAGATGCACGGGGGATGTACAAAAGGGGAATAAAAATGATTAAGAAGTATGTTTATGTATGAATTTACCAAGATGAATGTATGGATTGTGTATTACAAGCATATATTAATAAAAAAAATTTTTAATGCATTAAGGTAAGCTAAATACAGACAACATCTGTAGTCTATCAGCAGCATCATGTCAAAAGTGTTTTTATATTTGTGGTGCTGGAGAATGAACCAAGGGCTTTCACACTGAGGCAGCTCCCCAGTCCTTTCTTAACTTATTATTTTGGGTCTTCTTAGGATTACAGGTGTGTGTCACCATGGTCAGCTGGGCTGGAGGATTTTTCACTGACCACAGCCCTAGGTCAGAATCCCTCTTGGAGCTGTCATGCGGTATCCAGCCTGGTGACGTAACCTAGAGAGGAGAGAGCTGAGCTCCCACACATAGAAGTTTGCCACTTTCAGAAGATGGGCTGTTGTTAACACTGGGAAATCATCTAACTAACAAACAGAGACAAGCCATCTCCTATGGAATCAGGAGGTCAGGAAGAGCACAGATAAATAGGGCACAGGTGCAAGTCCCCCACGATGCGCATGTGAAGGGGGGTGTGGAAAGTCATCAGGTCAGGTCGTGTCTGTCACTCATCCTCTAAATTCTCCAGTCAAGCGAGAGGAGTGCTCAGGCCAGGGCAGCACAGATCTGTGCCTGCGAGGCGGAGCCTATGCTTGGCATCAGCTGGGCAGAATGCATCCAGCCAAATGCCAGGAAATCCTCTTTCTAAACTGAGCCCTGGCAATGGCTCATTCTGTAGTTTGGGCAAGGGGCCCACATGAAATTGTATGCTGAAGAAGACTGGGCAGTGTGGCCTTCCAGCTCTCATAGCAATGTGATGACTCCTAGGAAAGGCATCTGTCCGTCGTACTAGGTCTGGGCCCTTTCTCTGTGTCCTCACAGAGGGACAGGGAACCAGATCTAAAGATGATTACTCTCTCTGTCTTTGTTCTGTTTCCCAGAAGATAGTGAAAACTGGTTTACAATGCTCACTCCTATGCCAGAAAGTCATCAGGAGGCAAGAAATCTAATTTTCATATACATACAGTCAGCCCTCTGTACCCATGGGATTCTGCATCTGTGGAGTCAATTAACTGCAGCCTAAAAACATTTGGAAGAAAATGCATCTGTGTTGAACACGAACTTTTTTCCTTGTTATTATTCCCTAGACAATAGAGTATAACAAGTATTTATATAGTACTGACAGTGTATCAGGTGTGATAAATAACCTAGAGATGATTTGAAGTATATGGGAGAATGTGTGCAGGTTTTACAGAAATACTGTACCATGTTAAGTAAGGGATTTGCGTATCCTTGGATTCTGGTATTCTTGACAGATCCTGAAATATATTCCTATGGATACCAAAGGACGTCTGTACATGTAAGGACAAAATGCCTACAAAATTTCTCAATCAGTCTACCAATATTGGCAATTAGATTTTACCCAACATGAATACCCCAGTGGCCCTACCTAGCAGTCCATGGCAGTTGCTGGAAAGGCCTTTGCTGTTGGAGATGTAGAAACCCAAGTGGTTCCGCTGGAAGGGTGCTGGCTTTTTGTAGAGGTGAATGAGAACAACAAAGGCAATGGTCCCCTGGATGGTGACAGTGACATTTGCATTGGCAGACACAGCCACCTCCAGTCCCCGGCTCTCCACTACCATGCTCTGGTTGCAGGGGAGCACCAGCCTGTCACTGCCATCTAAGATGACTCTCCTGGGTGTGATCTCCAGGTAAGATCTCTCGGGCCGATTGACGAGGATGGTGATGGTGCCGAAGTAAGTGCGCTGTTTCTTGTGACCATTTGGAGGAGCAGGGGCCCCGATTAACTCTCCATTCACTGTCACACCTCAAAGACAAGGGAAAAGAACCTTGATTAAAAAACTGGTCTTCGTGCTAAAGTTATTTGTTCAGAATTTCCGTCCTCCTTCCTTATCTTCATGGCTCTAACACCAACAACACCCACCCTCACACTCAAGCCATTTGGATCAAGCCTCTTGGTGGTTTCCACATGAGTCTGAATGCATGAAACTACAGGGGAGCATCTTGGACTATGGAAAGGAGGTTTCAGGTTGGGGTCCAGGTATCACAGAATGGTTTGCATATTTTTGTGCCTTCATTCTGGGCACTGGCTGTAGTGGCAAAGGTCCTGTGAGCCCTGATGTATGTTTTGTGCTTACCAATTGCCACTGATCCTACACAGAGATCAATAGCTAATACTAAATTGAAAACGTTTTACTCCCAAAACTCAGGATACAAAATTGGAAATTTTTTATTCCCAAAACTCAAATTTTTTGCCTACTATGTAGGCACCCTTAGACAAAGCCATTTAAAAAATTAATTTTCAATTCACTCATTTTGGAAAATGAAGAGGATATAAAATCTAAGAGAACTTTGATGAGGACGCAGGGGCAAGATATGTATGAGCTGTTAACTGCCATCAAACAAAGAGGGAGAAAGGCCCCTGTTTCCCTTTACTGTCCTGAACATGAGCACAACTTTCCTGAACTCATTTCTTGCGTGAAGCCACAGACAAGCCCCCAGGGTACCACACTGTGGGGCTGGACAGCAAACAGGTGCAAATTGCACAGGAAACGTCTGCGAACAAGTTAGCTGATGCGTGTTTGGACTGCTTTGTTCTCAAGCAAAGAGGCAATGTTTAATAAATAAAGATTGCTATATAACTGACTCTTGTTTTCTTTGCTTTGAGGATCATCTTCCTAATAAATCTTGACCAGCAACTTCTTAAATATACAAGGAGAAAAGTGACTTCCCCAGGGAAAGGATTGAGGGGGAGGAGAAATCCCAGCCAGAGCCAAACCCCTGCTCTTGGCCTCAAAGCTCTCACCAACCAGGCTGAAGTTCTGTCGTGCATAAGTCATGGGATTTAGAAACCATGGGAACTGCTCCCAGGAGAAAGGGCACTTACAGGGAGCAATATAGTTAGGTCCCTATCTCTTCCCTGCACCCACGGTATTATAAACATTAGAGGCTTTGCTCTGAAGATAGGAAGGCTTGCAAGGAAAAAATATAACCAAGGAGAACTAGGACCAGACGTCACATAAATATACCACGTGTTTCACCTTGCTGGGGGACGCCCTGCAACCTCAACTTTAAGCCCCTCATTTTCTTAGCACTGAGAAGTACCAGATGGTCCCCACAAAGCTAGACTCTGTGGCTGTCCACATAATCGTCCCCCAAACATTGTTACCTACCTTGAGCAACAGCCTTTTCTGTGCCAATGTTTCTCCCAGCCCCTCTATAGGCTAACGGGAACCAATGCTGATGCACAGAGCTGTGTGGTTAACATCTGGGCTTTGCCTAAGTTATCAAGGAAGTAGGGTATAAGAGTTTGGGCCTCTTACTTCCCCACCATTATAGCTTTTGAATGGAAAGACATGATGAAAATAATGATGTCATGAAACTTCTATAACACTTGAGCATATTGAAGCTACTTCATACCCCAGATTTCATTTGATTCACTGCATAATATCCTGTGAGGCCAATAGAGCGTCACCACTTCTGTTTTATAAGGGAGACCACTGAAGCTTGAGAGCCCTGTTCCCAGAGCCACATTGAAGCTATACAGCATGGGTTTGAGGGCACATTGGTTTGACACTAAACCAGGAATCCCACACTCCCCATAGCCAATCATCACAGTACCACTGAGCATCCACCATGTTCTTATACGGCTGGTCATTCATACTAAACACAGAGGTGCACTTCGTGTGTCGGGGAGGTGGATAGAACATCTTTCCGACACGAAAGGCAGAACTTACCAGAGCCCATGTGATCAGAGACCAGCCGTAGGATGTCCCTGGGCTGTCCATCAATGTTAAAGCAGACGGTAAGTTTGCTCAAAGGGAAATCCACAACAAAATGGGGATCGCCATCCACTGCCAGGAAGAGAACAAAGGAGAAAGATAGACACTTACTGGCAGCTTTCCATGTGCACATATTTAATCCTGAGGACAATACTGCAAGGAATGTATCCTCAGATCTAAATTAGAAATGCAAGGGAGGGAAGTTATTCCCTAAACTCATCCAGTTAGTGGCTGGTCTATTTAAGCACGGATCTAGCACTCTTTTCACTATATCTCAGCAAGCGTAGACAACTAGGCTTTGAAGGCAAGGGGTGTTGAAATGGAAGAGAAATGTCGCCCTCTGCCCACAACAGTTACTGAGCGCACAGCCTTCGATTCTCTAGGTCGATTTTCTCCTTCATTTGCTCCGTTCTCTAACTGCCCACATGAAGAGTGAGAAGGACCTTCCTTATCTATGACAAAAGTTCTGTTGCACTTCTTCTCCCAACAAGCCATCCATGGTCTCACGAAGCTTCACAGTGCCAGCTGCATGCCACCCTTGCCTATAGGCACTAAGAAACTGGCCCCATTTAGGGGCAGCAACAACACAGAGTCATGAAAAGGTGGGCAGAATAGCAATTGATGACCGTGGAATCACTCTTCTGGGTCATTCTGACTTTATTGCTCTCCTCTATTTGTCCACAGTTGCAATCATGAAGTTCAGCTGGCCCCTGGTCATTGTCTAGTCTCTCCATCCTCATCCCTAGTAAACATGAATAGCTTTCCTTCTTACAGCATGGACCAAATATCTCTTGAGAGTCTGCATCAACTCTCCTCTCTCACTAGACGAGATTTAGTTTCTCTCTGGATTAGACACGAAACACAGCATGTTCAAGAATATCTGTTTTTTGTTCAGGTGCACTAGTGAGTATGTGCCTGTGTATGCTAGGCATATAAATCAGGAGGAGTCCAGTCTGTCTAAGCCGAAAATGAATTCATGTTCTCTTTCTAACTGCTGAAAACGCAGCATCACGCAGAAGAACCCTTGACACCCCGGGGAGAAAAATCTTTGCTGCTGCTTTCTGCAAATGTGCTCTGCATGCAAGTCCATGAAACACTGGAGATTGCGATAGGGATTGAAATGCACAGGCTCCCATAGACGGAATGCAGTTCCTTTGAACACATGTGCTCTGCGGAATGCAAGATCACCTTTTGGACGCCACCTGCAGTAATCACTTTTGGATTTCTCCCCTCATTTTGTTTTTTTGAAGCAAGCAACAATTTTTCATGTAAAGGGATTTGGAATCTGAGTAAAAATGATGAGTTGGGAAACCTCTCAGAGAACTGAGCATAAGCTACACCTAAAGAGTGCCAACAAAGTGGGTGAGAACTTCTGTCTCGTTTGGGTGTCATTATTTTTTCCATCATCAAAAGACAAACAGCTGTATTCCTTTATATGTTGCCATTTGCAGCCAGATTCTCTCAAAACACATTCACTGGAAGAATAAAACCCAGCCACACCACCCTGACTTTTATTATCATCTCAGGAAGTTGCCAAAAGAAAATTTTATGGCATTCAAACTCTGTTCTTTTCCTTCTAAGGCCAAGATTTAAAAAACAACAAAACAAAAAATCCTACCTATCACTTCAGACATTTATGTTTTCATAACACTGTGTTTTGTATCTGTGACACCTGCGGCTGAAAGAATGTACATTCCAGCCCTCTCAGCCTCTTACACCCAGCCAAGATCAGAATGTGCTTCTGCATCTCTTCTTCCATCAGGGCTCTTGCCAGGCTTCCTGGAGAGTATGGTCTGTCCACGGCGTTAGAGCAGTGGTTGTGTTCCCAGCATCCGCCTCAAAGTGCAGCCTTGAGCTACAGAAATATAGGTCATGATGCCACGCTCTTCTAGGAGCTGCTGTTTTAACTGGCCTCAGGGAATTCCCTGTGGTTCACTTTTTAAAATGTCCTAACTCTCAATTCATACTCAGCCACACCCTTTGCTTTACCTGATGTTTTCGAGAGTTTGACTCTTGGGTCATATGGCTTCTTGAGCACAGGTCCTGAAAAGGAAAAGAAGAGAACACTGAGTCATTCGTAACGACGATGCAGTCGGACAAACAGAGAAAAGCAGGCTGAGATGAATTACAGCCAGCTTTCAGATACGTTTGTAACAACCGAAAGAACCCAAAGCTCTTCAACATATCATTTATTTTAAAAGGAGAGTGTGGCCTCGAAAGACACAAATGAGATGTAAACTGTAGAGGCTTACTGATTTTATTTTTACCTATTAGATGATAGGTTTATTTTCTTGATCTCTGTGACTATATGTAACACTACTGAAATGTATACTAAAAAAGGGTTATGAGGGTAAATTTCATGTTATGTGGTTTTTAACGCAAGAAAAAACCAAAAGGCAGTGTCTGGTACTACATGTGTAAGATTAATTCATAAAGCACTTTGAAACACTAAGTATTCGAAGTAGCTTAATTGAATAAATATTTCATTAATGTATCTCCTGAAAGTAAATTTCTGTAAGATCACTATCCTATTTCAAATTGTGTATAATGTAAAGTATGTTTCTTCTCACCAGTCTTTATCCTCAGAGAGATTAAAGACAAAAGGATCTCAAATTTTTTAGCATTCCTAGTCCCTGGCAGCAGAACACGGGAAGGGTGCAAACGGACCAGAAAGAAGATGGAGCAGTCTGATTGGATGATTGCTTTAAGAAGTGGCAGTTATGCCTGTGAGCTCAACACTCGGGGATGCTGAGGCAGGAAGATTCCACGTTCAGGCTCAGCCTGGGCAAACTGACCAGATCTTCTATCAAAATAAAAAAATTTAAAAAGGGCAGTAGGGGATGGGGATTTAGCTCAGCGGCATAAGCGCCTGCCTTGCAAGCAGGTGGTCGTGAGTTCAATCCCCAGTACCGATAAAAAAAATTAAAAAATAAAAAGGGCAGTGATTGTAGTGCAGTGTGAAGGTCTTGGGTTGGATTTTCAGTACTGAAAAAAAAAAGTAGCAGTTGCTACAGACACTCAAAAAAATTGAAACCTCGGGGCTTTCGGAAAAGAAGAGCTACTTTATATATCACTGATACTCCAGGAAAACCTTATCTGAAAAAGCTCCTTTAAACAGTAAGTTGTTTCCTTGTCTTGTGTCCCTGGTCCTCTGAGTCCATTATCATCTCTGTCTGCTGCCTCCTGAATGTACTGAGATTTGAGTTTGCAGACATTAATAAAAGAAGTTACTTAAAAAGGCATTTTTCCTGGACATGGCATGGATGACTTTCAGTATGAGTTAATACTTTCCTCCAGCCTGCTTTTAATCAGAACAAACATTACACTGACTTTTAGAAATTTCTAAAATGGTAAGCTACTTCACCGCCTCTCTAGAAGAAGGATCTAGACTCTCAGTAAATTTCTAGCATGGAGAAGATGGCTCGTGTTTGTATAATGCTCATTCCATGCCAAAGACTCTCCAAATTAATACTTTCCAGAAGCATTATCACTCCCATTTTACAGGCACAGAAATGGAGCCTGAGAGGATACAAAAATTTGCCTGGCTCTCACAGTTGCCCAGGAGAATTAGTGGATCCTAAATTCATATTCTCTCCCCCACACTCTGGTACTCATCAGAGTTTAGACCGTAAAGAACAAAGAAGACATCATCTGAACTCTCTCTCACAGGGCCTGGCTAACTTCAGATCTCTTTCTCAGATGAAGGAAACTTGACAAGAACCTAACAAAAGGGGCTGGGGATTTAGCTCAGTAGCATAAGCGCCTGCCTTGCAAGCGCGCGGTTGTGAGTTTGATCCCGGTACCGATTTAAAAAAAAAAAAAAGAACCTAATAAAAACGCTGGACATTAAAACACACCACTTTCCACAGAAGAGCATTACCCAGAACACAGCCCTCTCCCCTGTCTCACAGCCTTTCCTTCCTTTTGCTCCTGTCCCTACAAACTCCTTCCTGTCACACTGCCATCAAGATCGGGCATGGTTGCCTCTGTCTAGATTCTAGGTGGATTCTCTCAAGAATCAATATCTTCATTCTTCAAAAACCTTTTCAAGAAAATAAAAACAATTTGCACATAAAATGACCTAATTTTGAAGTATTTAAAAATATGAAAAAGCACTGAAAACTGAATATTTGTGTATTGTTTGTTCATCGTGGTGCCCCCAATCATGCCCGACAGGCACTGGATTTATGGATGACTTTTTTTTTTTTTTGGTACCAAGAATTGAACTCACAACCTCATGTTTGCCAGGCAGGCACTATGCCGCTGAGCTATATCCCCAGCCCTATGGATGATTTATTGATAGGCTGACCACTGGCCACATTTTGTGGCCCGTGTGCTATTTTTTCTCATTTCCCTTGAGAGCCACAGTTTGTAACAATAGAAACACACAATCCCACATACTTTCTGAAGGCTACCTGCAGCATGGAGGCTCTTGTTTATAAAAATTGTAATCTGATAAAATAAAACAGACTCCTACTGACACTGCCACGGCCTTACAAAGAGTCAGAATCAAGGTCCAACCCCAAGTCTGCCTGGGCACATGGGAGCTGTGTTACCTGGCTGCATGGTGGATCCCCGAAGGCTCTGCATCACTGTTTCTGGTCCTGTCGCAGCAGACATGCCCCGGGCAACCTCCAGTGTGCCCCCCTGAAGCACCGGCTTCCTCAGCTTCATGGAGGTAAAGGGAGTGAGGAAGTGGTAGGTCAAGGCCAGGTCCTGCGCCTTCTGCCTCAGTCTCTCCTTCTCCTGCTCACTGTCACTCTGCAGCCAGCTGCTCAGCAACTCCTTCACAGTGAGGTAGCTCCAGAGACGCTCAATGTGGTTAGGGTCCTCCTTGCCATCCCCTCTGGAACTGGGACTTCCTGGAGCACCGTGGCCCCCCTTCTGAGGCTCCACAGGCACATCCGTCTTTAGGATAATAAATTTCTTACTGTTGCTGGCAGTGACCTCCACGTGCAGCTGATCCATCTTCCTGTCTACCAGCTTCCCAGCAATGACAATTTCAGAGCCATTGAAGTAGTTGGGGAACACGGTTTTGGTGGCATGCTCCACTAAGCCAGAGGGATAATCAATGCGGATGTTAAAAAGTAGGGGGGTCCTGATCTCATCATAGAATCTGCAGAGGAGGAACACAGAGAGAATTAGGGCCTGGCTGGCAGCAGGAGGGACCATCTTAAAGCAAATTACACTCTCACAAAGAGTGATCTGACTAGAAGTGATAAACCTGTCACAGTCCACAGCACAGTCTTTGCAAGAGTGGACACCCAGCAGAAGCTCAAATTCCTCTGGTGAGAGAGAGAGAGCACTCACTACCTCACAGAGCTTCTAAACTTCCTTGTCCACTGCTCTGATGATGGGGGAAGACATCCTTAGCACTGATCAAAACCTTCCTCGCTGAGATTTCCACCCATCGTTGCTTCTGGACAACAAAGAATTAGTGTAGCAATCTTCAACATGACAGCCATTTAGATGCTCAAAAGACACTGCTCTGTGTCCCTTGAAGTCCTCCTTTCATGTTGCCTAATCAACATCTAGGTACATGAATTATTCTTCATGTAACATATTTCAAGACCCCTCTCATGACTCTTTATATATTTCCCTTTATATATTTCCACACCTAAGCTTCTCAAAGGGATCCTAAAACAGTTCTCTTAAAACCCAAATAGATGTTACAGATGCACTGTAAGTGGCATGTTATACTTGAGAAATCTGACCTTGACTTTAGCATTACGCTTTTGTTTAATGCAGTATTTGTTAATGATAGCTTTTCTTGTAGTTCTATTATGTGGCTGCTTCTTGCTAAGTAAGAGTACAACCAAAGTCCCCTTTCCAAAGATCTACTCAGCATTGGAAGTGCCGTTCAACTTCCATCTCAACCACTTCCTTACTCTGTGTCCTAGGGAATACGACAGTTTCTTTCTCTATGGAAGCAGGATGTTAACAGTCAGTATAGAACAGTTTCGGCAGATCTCCAGCTGTCTCCAACTTCATCCTCCCTTTCTTTTACAATTGAATTCTAATGAGGGACCTGTCCATTCATCTACAAAAGATGTTTCCTGGCCTCCACTGTGCTAATTAAGGCCATGTAGCCATGAGGTCACCAATGGAAAAAAAATGATGCCTGCAACTTCCAAGACATTTGCTTAAAATAAAATAGTCTGCAATGGCTTCCTTTTCTTTCTCTCTGAGACTGCAATATAGAAATGACAGTGACTTAATTTCAACCTTCCAGCGAAGAACAATACCAAGTACGTGAGGCAGAACAATAAACTGGAAAGAACCTGGGTGAGTTCCTGGTGATAGTGTGGAGTAGAATTTAGGTGCCTTCTTTACAGGAGGGACAAATGAAGGGCTGTCTCAGGTCAGCCCTTGCTTTTGGTATCTCTGCATGGCAGCAGAATGTCTACCTTAATATATCTAGTACCTCCTAGGACAGTGGTGGTGAAGCCATGGTGTGCTTGTGGTTTGTTTTTCTTTTATGACAAAAAATGTTAATGTATGAATTGTTTTTTTCTGAACTAAAACTTCAATATTCTGTTGCAGTTTTGACACTTTGCAATAAATCAGTGGGTTTAGGGCTGCAGTTCCTAAAAGGTTTGCCATCACTGCCTTAGGATTTTGTGACGGTCACAAGAGATGATGTGTGCAGAAATGCAGGCATATTTTAGGTCCGCAGTATGTTAGGACGGAGAATATATTTAGTACTATCAACAGGGCAATTGATCTGTTTCCATGTAATTACTTTTATTGCAAATGCCTTTTCAAGTCTCACTTCTGTTATATAGTACATTCACTGTCTCCTGAGTCTAGTTTTGAAAAATTTTTATAATATAAGAAATAAATTTGTTTTCATTTAAATGTCCCATAAAAAATGCTGGAAGAAAACTGATGGCCAGTCCCACACTAACCACCTGTCTTTACTGTATACTCTACAATTTCAGTGAAATTTATCACTACTAAATTTCTTTGGTTATAGCCATTTTAACATTTTTAAATGTACTTCAACCTCACTTCTTTACAGTATATGCCATCTATGTCAAGAATTAAGATGTAGGGGCTGGGGTTTTAGCTCAGCAGCATAAGCCTGCAAGCAGGCAGTCGTGAGTTCAATCCCCAGTACCGATAAAAAGGAAAAAGACAAAAAAAAAAAAAATTAAGATGTGTTATGTGTATGTACCAACTTCCCGTGATGAGCATAATGATTATGAAAATATGTACAGTAAAACTTTTAAAAATTATAAAGAAATGTAGATGATGGCACAGCATGCCGAACTGGAGGTGGACATGCCATTAGATTAGCTGCAAAATCACATACTGCGTTTGGTATCACAGTATCCAAGGGAAGTTAGCATTGTATTAGATAGGCTAAATTCTAGTTCATTCTCTACCTCAAAATGATAATCTGATTACTCATCAGTTTAAACTGACTATTTTACTTCCACATAAAAAGATGATTATTTAACTGTACTCTAAATATCAAGAAGGCAATTACAACCATAGGAGTGCATTAAATGCCTAATATGAAACAGCCATTGTGCCACTAATTTACAGAAGTTTTCTGTTTAAATTCTGTGAGTCCACCGTAATTCTCATCTTACAGACGAGGAAACTAAGGCACAGACAGTTTTAAAACCTGACCGAAAGTCACAAAGCAGGACTAGAATTGAACCTTGATCTGCCTAATATCCAAACCCAGGATGAGACCAGTGACTTAGGAGCATTTTGAGTGCCCTCCTGTCTGGATTTCCACTGAATTTAACCCCCAGCACCTTCAGACCACATCTCCTCTTTCTGAGAAGAGAAAACAAACCCAATGAGCTGTGCACCCGCATCCTCCTCCTCAAGGACGCGCCGTGTGAGGCCACAATTGTCCAGTGACAGTTTCTCCAGCAGCCGGAAGTCCACGTCATTGCCAATACCAACAGTGAAGATGCAGATCCGACCCTGGGCAGCCTCCTTGGTGTTGTTGAGAATCTTAGGCACATGGGTCTCCCCTACTGTGGGTTTCCCATCCGTCAGGAAGATGACAAGGGACACGCTGCGTTCTTCAATGTCATTGTGGGACACGTAGTTGTTGAGGAGCCTGATGGCTGCCTGGAGGGCCCCATTAATGTCTGTGCCTGTAGGACATAACACAAGACAGCTCACACCTTCGTACCCACCTTCTGACCCTGAGTGCACAGTCACAGCTGCACGGAGCCCTCAGCATGGCTAGAAGCATGTTCAGTGTTTGCTAGATGAACATAAATGACATGGAATGATCTCACTGTAAAAACCTTCTGCAGGTAGCCAACGTACTTTCCTGTGGAAGTTCTCACTACTCCAGCATTATGGCTTCTCTGCCCTTTTCTAGGGCTAGCTTCAAAAGAACAGGAAGGGGTTGAATACAGGAACTTGAAGGGGAAAAGAGTCACAGGGAGAAGAAAGGTGCACAGAGTAAAAACTCAGGGTGGGACAATTAGACACAATCTCAGGTGGCTTCAAACATTACTGGGTGGTGCTGACCGGCAACTAGTGAGCTCCCTTTGTCATCTCTTCCTCTCCTTGCTTGCCATGCCTTGGGGTTACCTCTGATTATTAGAACCCACAATGGAGGGAGCTATTAAAATCCATACTCCTGGACCCTGAATTTTTTCCTTTAGAAGGTGCTTGTCAATGGGAGCTCTGATTAAAGTTGTGCGACAATATCTGTAAAAGGTGTTATACAACTGTTTGCTTTGTGTATGTGGCTGGCTATGGCTGAAACTCTGGATTAGCTGAGAATTTCACTCAACTCAGCTTCCACTGTTCCACCATCATCAAGCAAAACGAACAGTTCTTAACAGCATGAACATCTAGATCCTTAAATCACTTTTTTAATGGCTTGAGATAAAATTCACATGCCAAAAAAACACCCATTTTAATTTCACTTATTTTTTTAATGACGTGGACTAAATATAAATTGTAAGCACTGAGTTCATTATTTTTAATAAATGTAGGCTTTATAACCTGCACCACACCCTGTCACCCTGCCTAAAGGGGTTTTTAGCTACCTGCAAAATGTACAGTGCATGAAAGAGGCAGATCATTTCCCCATTACTTTAAATTCTCCAGAATTTCTGGCTTAAAAAAAAAATAGATAAGTCTACGCTGTGACAAAAGTATTTACAATTCCTGAGAACATGCATTCAGATTCCCAACAGAGGAAAGTTACAACTGAAGCAGTCTTTAACTTTTCTTTGGAATCACTCGTTTGCCTTTCATAATGCTGGTCTCATTTCTTGCTGCCCTGGATGGGTGAGCACCTACCAATTGGCAGGTGTCGTATTCTTTTTAATTTGCACTTAGCAGTGATGCCAAATCTCTCACTCCTCTTTAAAGCCAAGGAAAGCCAGGGCCAAAGGATAGATTTAGCTTTGCTGATTGCACTCAGGTGCCAACGGCACTGCAGGGCTTGGAATGGAGCCTATGTTAAGGTGGGGCATCCCCAGTCTACCTCAGCAACAGTGGGGCGTTCTCTGCAAGAACAGTCCTCCAGAGCTGCCTCACCACACTGTCAATAGCTTGTGGAATCCAACAAGGGGACTACTCAGGTCAGTAAAAAATGGCCACATCGTGAAGAGGACTTCCTACACACCAGGACCATTCTATACACTTTAAATATTTAAACTCATTTGATCCCAATGGCAACTCCATTATTATCCTCATTTTACAAATGTGGGAACTGAGGCACAAGAAAGCTAAACAGCTAATGGTGGATTTAAATCCAGGTAGTCTGGCTTCAGAATACACACATTTGATCCTGAAGTTACACCTTTCAGAGAAGCAAATTAAACTGCTGTTCCCCTGCAGAGTGGAGGCAATGCAAGGTCAAGAAAAAGAGGAAGCCAACAGGGTTCCTAGGGTTCAGATTCCGAAAGAAGGTGATACGTGACAGTGATTTTCTGAAGCTGTTTACCACCTTTCTCTAACACAGATTCATAATTAAATAAATTCAATTTAACAAATGTATTGAGCATGCACAGGATGTCAGTAAGTATGTTAGGAGCCAGGGGCTGCAAAGATGAAATCTCCTCCCTTAGGGAGGTTACAGTCTTATCAAATTCCTGTTAGAGACAATAACTATATTACATCTAATCTTGCCTTTTTCTCATCAATAAAAGTTCTTAGATTATACTGTTTTTGGAGACTGGAAGGAAATACCATGGTAAGCCTAAGTATCCGGCAGGCAAGAGTAAGTTCCAAATGAAGTTCATTTGGGAAATCAGTGCTTTGTCTTGGATGGGAGATAATACACAAAAAAATGGCAAAATCTCAAATAGGACAACACTGATCCAAGTGCTTCAAATGTTTCCAGAGAATCAAAATGAAATTAACCAAGATGACAGCTTCAGAAGACAGTGTCTCTGTCACGGGGTTTTAAGAATGGGGACAGAAGGCCAGGTTCAGGTCCAGTAAATATCCCAACACTGCACACCTCTTATGTGACCCTATACTAGCAATGTGAGTATAAGACCAAGGTCCCTGAGTTGAACAAGCTTACGCAGTTCACAGTTGGATAATCCACTGTCCTGATTCTCTAGTCTTGTCAGAATTCTTTATGTTCTTTCCTCTCCTCTTTAATATTCTGCATACTCCCCCAGGCACCATGATCAAGACCAGTTCAATGACTCGAGGCTCAGCATCCTCCCAAACCCCTTTCGTATCCACAGTCCTTCCCTAGCGATGTGGTTCCCCAGTGCAGGTTAGATAAACAAGGACGACTGTCTGTTCTGCAGGGCTACCTGATGTGCACACAAAACATTGAATTCTACATGTCACTTTAATTCTCTGCCCAAGAACAAGTTACCAAAAGCAGCTTTGTTTGTAGGATCCTAAGATAAGCTAGGAAAGCACCCAAACACCTATAAGGTATTCCCCCCACAGTTTAACAAATTTGGTTTGATACCTTGGAGATGAGAATTTGGACATTTAGTGTTCAGAGAAACATAAGCTTCTGGGAAAGCTCTCACCTATTACCTCTTTTTCTGGAATCAGCTTTAGCTCTCTGATCCTCAGCTCTTGGAAGAAAGTTAACTTGTTATCATGTCACAGTTGACATGCAAGGAAGGATCATTCTTACCTCCACTGGGCGACATGAGGTGAATATAGAATTTGCCATCTATGATATTGTTAGGAGTGACTGGAACCAAGTGGTCCTTCCACACCTTAATTCGGTTGGAAAACCCAATGATACTGAAGTGATCCTGGGGTCGGAGGTCAAGGAGAATGGTGGTAAGAGCATCCCTGGTCTGCACAAATACAAAACAAACACCAGTCATATCTGATCGCATTAGTCCACTAGGAACAATCCCAAAGTTCAGATTTACTGCCGTGATTAAACGTCTCTTTCCCTTATTAGATTATAAGCCCTTTATGAGTATGTCTCATTCATCTTCATATCACTGAGTGACAAACAGGAGGTGCTAGACAGAGGGGTAGTGAGTGAATGAATGAACATGTAATTATTTACATAAAAAGTGTGAATAAGAAACACCACAGGAATTGTTTTTATTTTTATTAGTACATGGTGGCAATACGTAATGTCCATATTCCTTGTGTGGAATTGTACACATACATAACACATCTTAAATCCTCAGACATCTGTAGGAAAATGGATGCACCTTGAGACCATCATGTTAAGTAAAATAAATCAGACACAAAAGCTTAAATGTTGAATGATTTTTCTTATATGAGAAATACAAATCATAAATAAAGAACAAAATAAAAAGACAGACAAAAGGAAGATAGATCTTGAGACCATCATGCTAAGTAAAATAAATCAGACACAAAAGTTTAAATGTTGAATGATTTTTCTTGTATGAGAAATACAAATTATAAATAAAGAACAAAATAAAAAGACAGATAATAGGAGATAGACCTTTCCCAAATGGAAATGGTATAAAGGGATGAAAAAGGAATTTTAAATGTTGTGAAATGTCTATGAACTTGACTGACAGCTTTATAATGAAAGAGAAATTTGAGTATAGGGCATAAATGAATTTGACAACTTGGAAGATGAGGAAGAACACGTGAAAAGTAAGATAGCTTAAGCAAAGCTAAAAGGTGATGCAGGCAAATTTGAGGGGTACTGAAAAATAAGAGGTATGCATTTTATTTGGACATTTGGGAAGTAGAAAGAAGCCTTATGAAGCTGAAAACAGAAAAACTCTAAGATCCTAGACAAGAGTTTCTATGATAATCCACCACATATCATGAGAAAACACTGCCCTCCTTAGACAGCATGGTTGCTGGATTTCTAAAGAGATTTAGTGTCTGAAGTTAGAGACTAGCTGGACACTAGTTCCATCATTTAGCCACTGTGGGGCTCTACGTAATAAGCTGCACGACACGCTCTGTTTCCTGCCTCCCAGTGTTGTTACTCATTGGAAAAATTAGGACAGTAACACTGCCTACCTTATCATCCTGCCATGAAGGTTCAATCAGGTACTAGATGACAAGTACTCAGAACGAAGCCAGACATACAATGACTACTATACTGAATTTGCTATTACTTGCCAGCTGGTGGGAAGCAGAAAAATTTAGAGAAGACAGGAGTCTGGGGTGGTGATTTCCAGAATGAGTGGCACCGAGGAGCCACATGCTTACTCGGAGGACATCATGTAGGTCTTTCCCTAGACTGTATGACTGTCTTCGCTTCACCCCTCCATTCAGATGTATCACACCTTCTAACTCTCCAGCCATGTGTGATGACCACTGCTCTTATTTTAACATTTTCATTTTTGAATTCTATTTCTCACTCCGTGGTCTTATTTTTCAGTCCTATATCCAGCTACTCACTCCAAAATCTTATTGTCCAACTCTTGAATTTTATGGGAACCTCAAAATACAATTTATAAAAGCATTGCTGATATTTCTAGTTTTAAAACTATATGTGACATTTGTTCCTAACCTCAGAGATTCTAACCTGAGAAAAGGTTCACCTAATTTTCTACTTGCTATATTTGCTGAATTAAGGCTCCTCAACTTTACCATTTCTTCATTCCTGAACTGCAAAAGCAGTGATGTCATCAGGAGCATGAAATAATGGTGGTGATGATGATGACTACAACGACACAACTGATCTTTCCTGGCACTCACCAGGTAAAATGCTGAGTGTAAATGCTCTTCCTGTGTCAAGGAGATTCACAACTAAAGTGATTGTTAGCATTCCCATCTTACAGATGAGGCCATTGAGACAAGAAGTTAAGTATCATGGCCTATGGGAGCCTGGATTATAACACAGCAAGTCTGAGCCCAGGACCAACACTTGGATTCACAACAGTGGGATTTGCAGCCCCAAGCCTGCTGGAATTTCAACTACTCTGAGTTCCAACATCACAGTGTACAGCTCATTGTGGATCTCTTCCAGCTCTGTTGTTGGGCTCTGCTTATTTCTTTGTTTCTTTCATTTCACTTCTGGCAGCAATTAAAGGATTCATCTCCTCTAACATCCCTGAAGAAAGCACTGCATGAATTCTGCATCCCCCGCACTAGAGCAGTGGATACATATCATTAAATCCATCTTCTTATCTTACAGAGGGTCGCCTCCATGCCCCACTCCTTCCAGGAGCCAGTGGCTTGGCTATGCTTGATTCCACTCATGGGGCTGGGAGACCTACTGTCTCATCTCCCTCTACTCCTTCTGGAACTGGATTTTTCCACAAAAGGGGTCTGGCTGACAGCTTCTAGGGACTTTCATGTCTTCTCTCAATCCTGATTCCCAACACCAAGATATGTGTTGAGATGCATGTAATGATACAAGGAATCGACACCCAAAACAGGTCAGTGCTCTCAGGAAGACATTAAGGATCTGTAAAATGTTCAACCAACATGGCCATTCCTCTTCCTCAGAGCTCTTCTGGCTTTGGCTTCCTGGCATACATAGGCCTCTTCCCTCTCCCCCGTCATCCACTGGCTCGGCTGGTGCCCCTTTCTGGGCCACCCTTCAGTGAGCAACTCAAAAACTGAAATTCTCAGCTAAGTTCCCAGCTCCGCTCTCACACTACCTGTGTCCCCTAGGTGAGTTTATGCATCCCTATCACCAACCATGCATCCTCCTTTGGCTCACTTCCAGACTCATCTCCAGACTGATTTGCTTCTCTCATTGATCCAAACCAACCTGACACAGCCACATCTCCTCCTGTGTCCCATAGGCAGCTCAGATTCAAGGAGTCAACACGGACCTGAGATCTTCTTCAAACCTGTCTCTCCTGGGATTGGCACCTTGGGCCACCTCAGAGTGTACGTCAGAAGCCTGGACATCATGTGGATCTTCTTTCTGCCCAATTCACCCCTGACCCTTATATCCTTCAGCACCCCGTCCTGGAATTCCACTCCTCTTCCTAAATATCCTGGGATTATGATCTGGGTGCTTTTCTTTTATTGTTGTCCTTCATTTTGAAAGTATTACTTTAAAAAGATAACAAGAAAAACAAGAAAATCATAATCCCAGCCACCTCCCACAACCACCACAAAAGCTCTGGTGTACCACAACCTCTTCAGAAACTTTCCTCTGTGTGTGTGTATGTGTACCCGTGTGTGTGCACACATGTTTGCTTTTAAAGAAAGTGATGCCACATTTGTATCACTCTTGTCAAGCTTTTCTTTATCATACCAAGTCCAGTTTTCATGTCAATGCATGAATGAATGCCATGTCATTTTAACAGTGGCACCGTATCCTACAACATGCATTCACAATATTTTAACACTTCTGGATATGTGAGTAGCATTGCTATGAAGTTCGTTATCCACTCGACTTTGTGGCCATGACTATTTCCTTATGATAAATCCCCATGCAGACAATCGGTGTGAAAAAGGACCTTGGGTAGGATTTAGCAGGTTCCTGTCTTGCTGCCGTAGTTAGATTTTCAACCCTTCTCCATGAAAAGCATTCTTCATTGTGCACAACACAAAATGTGAACTCTCCTGTTTGAATACAAGATTCTTGATAAAATGAATGGTCTGAATCTGTATTTCTAGCTTACTTCCTTATACTCCCATCCCAACTATAAACTTTAAGGTCTGATTCCCCAGCACCCAATCTCCCTAAGCACACCATGCTTCTTCACAGTTTCTTGCTCCTACACACTCCTCTCCTCCCCCTTTTCTCTATTCACTGAGCTACAGTTTGTCTTTCATGTCTTGGGGGAGGCCACTCCTAACTCAACCGTGAAGACAGGCAATGGCTCTATTCTGTGCTCCTGCTCTGCGTCCTACGCATACCCATTGTAGTGTCTCTGTAGCCTGGGCCCCTGGCTCTTTTCCAGCTCTGCTCCTCTGCACCTGTCATTTCCTTTCCCTGAAATGCTCTTTCCTGGCCACTAAATTCCTTCTGCCCTAAATCCTGGCCCCATCTTTCCTTCACACCATAGAGAAGACCTTTCCCTGTGTGTATGGCTATATTTGTCCATTTCAGTTCTGTGCTTCTGAGTGCAGGATTTTTTTTTTTTTCATTCTGTGTTTAATACCCAGCAGTTTCCAGCACACAGTGATGCCTGAAAAATGTTTCCTGGCTAACGTGATGTTGGGTAAAGTGCTTATCTATCACATTAGCCAGGGAATTCCTCAAATAACAGTCTTCTGTCTCTCCCCAATCCCACTGTGATATTTTACACATTGTAGGCATTTAGTAAAATTCTAGTATCCATTGTATTAGTATTATGATTATCTGTTGTAACTGATAAATATATGAAAGAGATGGAAGAGTAGGAGAAAAAGAAATGGGGGGAGAGAGACATACAAAGACAGAAAGAGACAGGAACAGAGACAGACGAACAGTTTGGTGATTCAGAGAGAAGAGGGAAGAGACATAGAGACAGGACACTCAGGGAGACAGACAGAAGATTCTGTCAGCAAAGAATGCCACTTGCCACAGCTTGTCCTCTGGCATCTAACGAAAACAGTGCTGAGAGTGACCTGGTAGCCAAGCTGCTGCATCACGAACTGACAACCCCATCCCCACACTCAGCAGAGGTTAAGTGGAGCCCTGACACGATGCAGGTGGCCTCAGGCAGGTTGCTGGCCACACTGTGCCCTGTGCCTTTTCTTCTATTTAGCAACACCACACTGGGTGTGAGCACCCTGTGATTCCCTCTCTGAGGTCCAGACCTGTACAAAGGGCTGTCTGGGAGCCCAGTTCTAAGACTCCCCTGGGCCCAGAGCTGGCCAGGGAGCAGGAAATGGGCCCTGAGGAGAAGGCCCTGGTCAGAGACTGTGACTTGTTTAGCTGCTGGCATCCCTGGGGATCCTT